TGAGTGTCTTCTGTGCTTTGTGGTGTGCCAAATGCTTTGCGGGTCTAGATTTTGCAAGTGTATTCGTGGCGTACGGCTCGCCAATAATTGAACGGTGTAGGGCTTGCCAGTGTTTTTGGGGCTACATGTTTGTCACTTCAATGTTGTTGTTTTAGGGCTTGTGATTGTCAACAAGATCTACCGTTAGGCATTGGCTTGGAGTTCAGACTTTGCCAGTGTTTTCACAGTTTGAGGTTTTCCATTCCTTTCAGGTTTAGTCTTGGCGTGCAGGCTTTGCGGCTGCAGGGTTTGTCGCTCCTTCGAAGGTTTAAAGTGGGATGAAGGTTTGCCACTTAAGTCACTCAGGCTGCAGGGTTTTCGTGTGTTTTACCCGGTTGAGGGTGTGCTGCTCCTTTCAATGTTTGGGGTTGGGTTGCCACTTTTTGTTGGTTTCGGCTTGCGACGTGAACCCATTTGGTGGTTGGTTTTGTCGCTGCTCGGAGGGTTCACGATTAGCTTGTCCGAATCCTTTGTTTGCTTAGGGTTGCCATTTTTTGCTTGAGCGCTTGGCACTCGTGTTGGGGGTTCAGGATTCGGCACTGAGGTTTTTGTAAGCTGAAGGGTTTGGCATGACTTTTCGGGTTTTGGCTTTGCATGTTTTGCCTGCATGGTTCAGGTTTGCCAATGTTTCGACGGTTTGGGTTTGCTGCTCCTTGTCGAATTTAGGATTCGCCATCAAGTCTTGTCGACTTTAGGGTTTGTCTCATGGTTTTGCGGTCTGTTCTTTTGCGTTTGTTTCGTTTGACATTTTCTTTTTGGCCGTTGGGGTTTCCTTTCAGGATTTGTGTTGGGGTTCGCTATTCTATTGGCGGTTTAGGGCGTGCGCCGCGCGATGCTGGGTTCAGTGTGTAGTACTCACGATGATGTCTTCCAGGTTCTCAATGTGTGATTTCTTGTAGCGTTTCGGTTTGCCAATCTGTTCGTTGCCACTCCTTGTGAGGTTCGGAGTTCGCCACAATGGTCTTGTAGGCTTGGTTTGTCAGTGTTTTTGGTGTTCAGCTCTTTCATGTTTTGCCGCTGTGACGCAGAAATTGCGGTTCGAGTGCATGCGAGACCTGCTTCCGGAACCGGACTCTCTTCCGGCAGCCTCCTCGCTCTCCTCGGTCCTTTTTGTGTCCGAGCCTCCGGTCTTCCCTGAGTGTCTCCCTTGCCCTGAGCTTTCTTCTCTCTATCTTCCTTTTTTCTTTCTGGGAATAGGGATCGGGGTTCTGCTGCTTCCGCACTCGTGCCGAGGGACGAGGTACGACCGTGTATGTTAGCGCTAAACTTCCAACAGGTGAAACATCGAAGGTCTGGGGTTGCCCTGTATGCTTTTTGGCTTGGGGGTTTGCCAAGTTGTGGAGGGTTTAAGGTGTGCTTTTTGAGGGTTTCGGTTTACCAATTTGTTCACGGTTCAGGTGACGCCTTCCTTAGCGATCAGGATGGAGGCTTTCCATTCGATTCGTTTCTTGTTATTGGCTGCTGATTGAACTCTATTGGGCGCGCGGCTCCGTGGAGGTTTTGAGTGTCTTCTGGGCTTTGTGGTGTGCCAATTCTTTGCGGGTCTAGATTTTGCAAGTGTATTCGTGGTGTAGGGCTCGCCAATACTTGAACGGTCTAGGGCTTTCCAGTGCTTTTGGGGCTAAATGTTTGTCACTTCAATCTTGTTGTTTTAGGGCTTGTGATTGCCACCAGCATCTACCGTTAGCCATTGGCTTGGAGTTTAGACTTTGCCAGTGTTTTCACTTTTCACAGTTTGAGGTTTTCCATTCCGTTTCAGGTTTAGTCTTGGCGTACAGGCTTTTCGGCTGCAGGGTTTGTCGCTTCTTCGAAGGTTTAAAGTGGGATGAAGGTTTGCCACTTAGGTCACGCAGGCTGCAGGGTTTTCGTGTGTTTTTCCTGTTAAGGGTGTGCTGCTCCTTTCAGTGTTTGGGGTTGGGTTGCCACTTTTTGTTGGTTTCGGCTTGCCACGTGAACATTTATCTCATGCTTTGTGGCATATTTATTTGTTTCGTTTGCCACTTACATTTTTTGTCCTTTGGGGTTCCTCTCCAGGGTTTGGGTCCGGGGGTTTGCCAAGTTGTGGACGGTCCAGGGCGTGCCTCTCAATTATGGGGTTCGGTGTTGGACACTTACGAAAACTTTTGCCACTGATGCCTTGTTGAGTGTTTAGGGTGATGTTTTACGGTTCTTTTCGTGGTTTGGGAAATGCCAAGTTTTACATCTTCGTGTTCGTTGTTCTTCTGACGCTGTACGGCTCCTTGAAGGTTTTGCTCTTGCCACGCTTTTGACGGTCTCGGGCTGGTCACTGCTTTCGAGGTTGGATCTTGTCGTTTTGAGGATTGATCTCATGGCTTGTGGTTTGACATTGTCTATTTCTTTTGCCACATGTTTTTTTTTGTCCTTTGGGGTTTCCTTTCAGGGTTTGGCTTCAAAAGATTTGCCGTTCCATTGGCAGTGCAGGGCATGCCATTCTGGCTTCAGTGTTTGGCACTTGCGATTACGGCGTCTGGGTTCTGGGTTGTCATTTCTTGTAGGGTTTCGTTGTTGCCAATCTGTACATCGTTCAGGGCTAGACACGTCTTTCGAGGTGCGGAGTTTGTCGCAATGGTCTTGTAGGCTTGGTTTGCCAGTGCTTTTCAGGGTTTTAGTTTAGGTTTGTTCCCGTTGCTTATTTCTGGTTTGCCAATGGGATTAGAGTGAGGGTTTGCAACTCTTTTCGTGGTTTAGGAGTTGCAGAGTTCTAGATCTTCTAGGCTTCAGGGTTTTCTATGCTCCTGGGCTTGTTGTTTGCTGCTCTTCTAGCGCTTTTAGGCGCGCGGTTCTTTGAAGGGTTTGCAGGTTCCACTGATTAGACTGTCTCTGGCTTGAGTTCAATTGAATTTTTAGGTTTGTCGACTTGGGTCGGTCTTCAAGGCTCTGGGATTTGTCATCGCTTTTTGGGTTCAGGTTTTGCATGTGTTTTCATGGTCTGGGTGGAGGCTTTGGGGGCTGTTAGGTTTCAGATTGCCATCGCATTGAGAGTTCGGGCTCCCATGCAGGCGATTGAAACTCCGGCCTTTCTGGCGACCCTTAATGAGTAACCTGAGTAGCCTGATGGACAAACCAAGAGCCCTCGGGCCTCCGTGCCTTGGCGGACTTACACAGCACTGCCCCCCCTTTTTCGAGTAACAGCGTAGCATCGGGGATGGTGGCGCTTTTGCGTGTTTCACATATACTGCAATAAGGCGCTACACTCTCGACGACACGGTTGGCACTTCCCAATTTTGCCACGAATTCAGTCTTCTGAATATTAAGCTTGACACCCAGATGCCAGTTAGCTTCGGGGATGGTGCGGTAGGTCCGGTAGGTACAATCCGCGTTTTGACCTCTTTACAGGGCGGAAAAGATGCGAGGGTTGCCGCTGTGCCAAAGTTGCTTTCTCCCTTTCACTGTCTCCCTCGCTCAATTCTCTTGTCTTGCTTTACCTAAGCTTTTCCTCTGGTTCCGCCTGGCTGTTTGTCTCTCCCCCACTCTCGCTCTCGTATAGAGCGGGCCGATGCCCAACACCCGGTCACGTTATTTTGCAAGAACTGCGGGTTCTCATTCAGTGTCGTGTGACGGTCCTTCCATGTCCTGCTAATGCCATGGATGTGAAAGTGCAGATTGTTTACATGTCCTAGGATCCAAGCTTAGGTGGTACACTCCTCGCCCTCTTGTTGTTCAAGGTGTCCGGCCGAACTTCTCAGCAGTACTTCCCAAGATGTGGAAATGTGCCTGGTGATAGAATGCCAGGTCCCGGTGCCGGTGCAGCTGTCACCGCGGCTGGTGTCTTCAGCAACATCATGGAGGCAGCCCTATTCAATACTCCGAGTGAATGGAAATCGTCTTGTGCCCCAGCAACACCTCAATCACACCAGCAGGGTGTCCGAAGTGACCAGCTCTCTCGTCGACAAGCATACCGCAGTTTGCACTGTGTACTGCGCGCTGCGCTAACAGCATGCTCTTAGCTGTCGAACTTTCAGATGATATTGTAAGCAAAGCCGGGACCAGTGGGCTTGCACAGGAATGCGCAGGACTGATGCTGTCTGTGACTGCGCATGTCAGGTGATGAATGGCATGCGCTGAGACGCCGCCCGGAATGTGGAATGGGAAGTTTGAATCTTGGACCGCACACTTCCAGCAGCACGCCACGGCACAGGTCGTTTTTTGCGACGATGGAGCTAGTTTGAAAGCAATGCAAACAGACGTGGCTGGCAGGAGGCTGTGCGATGAACTTTATCCCGTAGCAGCGCTGTGTGCCGACTTGCTCCACACTATTATGTTGTTGGTAGGATGACCTTCCTGTGCTGAGCATAGGATTCGTAGGAGGCTGCAAACCCTCCAAGCCGCGGTCAAAATCATGAGGAAGATCGAAGGTAGCCCTTCCCGCAAGCAGTGGATTATCTCATCAGCTCATGCCTGTTTTGATCCCACATTATCCCGCCATCTGACAGGAGTCCCCTTGCTCCCTTGGTGTGATCCGAATGCTTAGCATGTGTTCGTGGTAGCGGATTGGTGCATCTAGCACGGGTTGTGCTTCACAGACCTGATTGCATCAATGCTCTTGACAGCATGCCTTACTCCATATCTTCTACAGCTCCAGTGTCGATGCTGTTCGTTGCAATGAGTTGCTTCCCGTCGCTGCAGGCTTATAGTTGCAGTTATACAGCATTTGCTTCAAGATTCATGCAACAAGCTGTTGGGGCGCATGCGTAAAATGCATTTCGTCATGCATGCAGCTCTTACACTTCGCCAGCATTGTCGCCAGCACAAGGAGCAGAAGTCATGCAGGGTTTAGAAGATCGATCAGCCCACATCTAAATAGATCTGCTTATTCGGATTACCATGCCGTGTGCCTATGGAACAAAGGCAGCCATAACATGTCGCATGATTTGACTTTCACCAGCGTTCTCCAAGGGCATGCATCTTTTCTTGACAGGTCTGACAGGTTTCGTTAGCCGATGCGCCAGAAGGTGGGCCGTCCATTGGCAGGAAAAGTTGCTGGAGAGGGTTTTGTGTGTTTCGTCTTGCAGGCTAGGACCCGTCCGACTGGTCCGGATGTGAGAGCACAGGGTTTGGACACTGCCGTGGGCTTACCTGTTCTCTGACTCAGAAGCTATTCAATCTCGCTTCCATGAACACAAAGACTCCGCAAGTGAGCTTCTGCAGATACACAACATACACAACATGCCCCAGACGTCCAAAACCGAAAAACGTTGGTATTGCTACCTGCAGAGATCCCCGGCCGAAGGGTGTGAGACCACGAAAGTCCGCTCTGCGAGCTGTCGCAAATGTGCAGAGTGCTTGCATGGACATTCAGAAGGAGGCATTGAGGGGTTGGTGTTGTCGCGAGAATGGGACACAGCAATAGCATGGAGACATGCGAATGAGCTGTGCAGGGTGTGAGAGGCGACAACGAAAAGGGCCTGCTTTGCAATTTTGCCATGGCCTGTCTTGAGGCGACATTGGGACGAAGCATATGTCAGCACATATCTGTGAAAGGTGTCTATCTCAGATGATTCAAAGATGGCCGGCCAATGTGTAGAACAGCGCCGCAGCCGAGGCTTCTGCATAATAGATCCAGAGGTGGGCAGCCTAGACCATGGGGGTAGCAGGCTGTGTCAACGACAATTCGATACCACCCTTAGGTCGAAGAGGAATATCTGGATACTGTACTGGCCGCCTGCTCCCCAGGGAATCAGCAAGGCATCTGTGACAGACGCGGTTACCTTCGGAGGACATCTCTGCCGTTGACGAGCAGGGCAGATTCGTTTGCTCCCTAGAGACACTCAGAAAAGCTTCGCACGATGCAGCCCTGCCTTCCTGAGGTCTCGCTTCCAGCTGGCATTGTAGAGGAGGGGGCTTGAGCGGATCCCCCCAACACTGCCCTGAGTTTGACACCACATGGAGCTGCAGGGCCTTCTGGGCAAAGAGGGCTCCTGCCGTGTGGCAGATGTCGGTTGAGCCGTCATGCTTGGTCTCTCTGCTTGCGAAGAGAAGAGCACAGTAATTCGTCGTCACATCGACTGCAATGCACAAACATGACTCTTCTGTACGGCAGGTGTCACGACCGAGCATGCGATGGTGTCAGTGTTCACTGAAAGCTTTGTGCCGCGGGCCTCAGTGGCTTCGTTCAGGACAAAGGATGCTGTGGAACACTCTACTGGCTTTGCGCTGACTTCGCCTGCCGTGTTCCAGGCGCGATGGTGCTGCCCTTCGCTACTTCGATGACGAGTTTTCGTGATGCCATGCGTGGTTTCCCTGCTGGCCTAGACATGGCTGCCAGCGCATGTGGCAGTAATCTGGGGCAGTTGCGCATAGAGAGAGTGGCTGCCGGCTGTGCTCTTAAGGGAAGGAACTTCACGAGTGGACGAGCGTAGCAGAACCCCCTGGCAGACACTCAGGGGTGTTCACGGCACCAGCCTGACCAACAGTCTGACCAACCCTGAGTATCACCACACTCAAGCACAAGCATCGAGCCAACTCCACATAGCCAGAACAAGTGCTTGTTGTTAGCAAAGCAGCACTGGCTCCACAGCCATTCTGTCTGGACCTGAGTATGACACATTATTTCACGGCGGAGGTATCTTGCTTGTGGCGTCACGCGCGTTTTTGGACTACCTTGGTGAGGTTGTCATGGACACAGACCGGAAGTTGTACCTGGCCAACCTGCCACAGGATATCGCCGAGGTCCAACTTTGAGACCGTGCGGGAGTTCGTTCCAGCCACTTGTTTCATTTTTCTGCAGGAAGAGCTCCGGGAGGTCTTCGGCGTATACGGCCGAATAGAAGAGGCCGGAAGCAGCGATGATGGCAGCTGCAAGCCTTGCGCTTGGCCATGCAAGGTGATCGTCCTCGGGTCGAAAGCTGCAGACAGGCCACCAACACCACCAACGTGAGTTGATTTCAGCCACGAATCTGCCACCTGCAGGACCGACCGCACGGGGTTCGTCAAGTTTGTAGACAAGGACTTGTGGCCGTCCTTCCCGACATGGAACATTCCACAAGCACTATCAGGGGTCCGCACTCCGGGCAACGCGCTCCCGCCACAGTCCTGAAACCCCTGCGCCTCCTGAGCCCTGTTCGCGGCTCGGATTCTCAAAGTGCTCTTGGGATGCTCTCGATGCGTTCTGGGGGGTGGTGGTCCCGAAGCAGGCCAGCGTAACTCACTTCCGTTTCGAGCGGAAGCTCGCACAAGTCTTGGGGAAGGAGCTTGTGCTTGCCAGGAGGATGCAGCCGCAGCGCTGGCTGTCCTCAACGAGCCGCACCTACTGTACAGCTAGTACCGGCTTTTGCAGGATGTCCGGGTCGGCCTGTCTAGCAGACGTGCGTCCCAAGGACATGTACCAGTTTCGCGAAGACTCGGAGACGATTCGCGTTAGCTGGGCCAGGCTGCGGGGCCCCAGTGTTTCTTTATGGTACCGAAAGAGATAGATCTAGTCGCCGTGAGAGATGTGCTAATGTACTAGTCATCACTCACACTCGGGCAATGTTTTAGGGAGTGCATGGGAACTTCCGTCAGGCCTCATCGCGACGACAAGGGGCACAAGGGCCATGGTCATGGCTATGGACACGCAGGCCAGTCCTTTGAGGGGAAGTATCGGAACAGTCTCGGAAGACATTGTGCCATTCGGATGCAAAACAAGGAGGCCAATCAGGTGGCAAGGGTCCACCGATGCCGCCACTTCCTGCACCGAGCTTGGTGTTTTTCTGTAACAAGTTTCTTCTGCTTGTCAAGATGTGCATCCGTCAGCACGGAGGCACCGCCAAGTGGAGCACCTCCACCCCCGCCACCCGCAGCTCCGCCACCCCCGCCCATGCCAGCTCCGAAAGGTGGGAGATGTGGGGGGATGTGGGCTGGGCACCTCCCAAGGCAGCTTCCAAGGGCAAGGCATGGCACGGCAGTCTCGCTCAGGCGGAGGGGGCTTCAAAGGGCCTGGCCAGGGCGAGAAGCTTTGGGTGCATGGCTTAGCACAGCCACAAATCGAAGAAGTCGAGGATGAAGATTTCTCTTGGCGCAGTGTGCAGACACACTCAGGTTGGTAACTTGCCCGGTGACATCACCGAGACCGAGATGCACAAGGCGAGGACAAGCAGAAGCAGAGTGGCATAGTGGAGCCGAGGAGCCCCTTTCTCTCTAGCAGTACAAAGTTCGAGACTGACGAGACGGGAATCGAAGGTTTCGCTGGAGTCACGGCTAATGTCCCTAGTGCCTGCTGATGTCTATTTGGACACAAAGTACAAGGCAGCACTGCCAAATGCTAGAGAAGGCTCCACACGAAGATTCAACAATAAAGCACTGGATGCAGCTACTGGCCCAGACCTTTGCCCACACGACGCTCGAGTTTCGAACGCTGGCAGGCATTTGGCCAGTTTGGCAGTGTTGACGAGGTCAACATTTTGCCAGCTAGATCCAGGACCGGGGCATAAGATGTGGCCAGATCGGCCAACTTTGGCAGTCAGAGCAGAGCTGAAGAGCAGAGACGGCATTCTCGCGGTGCGACAGGAGCGGTCAGCTCTGTGCCTTTGTGCGCTATGCCACGCCTGCAGAGGCGAGAGGTCATCGCAAATAGGTCTCTTACAGTAGGCATTGCAGCATGCTGCAGCGTTGACGGAGTCAGGGGGCTCCGTGAAGCTTGATGTTTCAGGAGAAAAGTAGGATGATTAGGGGCACTTGCACTTCCAGATGCGACGGCAGCTTTGACTCAGAAGTGTCATGTCAGATGTCCACAGGAGACATGCTGGGTTGGATCATGTGCAGTTACTGTAGTAACGCTTGCGATGTCAGTGCCATCAGTGCTGTGCTCTGTCTGCTGACCTTCCGCGCTTTTACACGTCGTGAAACCATCTTTGAGGGTTTCTGCCGGCCAAGCCCTGAGGTTTTATGTGTGTTGGGAAGGCAGCTCAGCCTTGGTGAGGTCAAGTCGGTGGCTCCTTAGGAGTCAGCTGCAGGAATGCTGGTAGGGGGCATAGGCAGAGATTGCACGTTTCCTGGCCGCGGGCAGAGTTGTCGCCACACTTCGCATGAGTCATGGTCGGCGATGCGAGATACAGGACTGTATGGAGACTCCACTAATCTCCGCTAAATTGTCAGATGGACATGAACCCTGGTAAGCGCTTCCCGGATGGCCAAGGTTGGCGCTTGCATTTCTGTAAGGCCACTTACGCGCAAGTGTTGCTATTTGAGTGATGAGAAACTACCATGTCAACATTCCCAGGACAGCACGCATGTTTGAGATTCGCACAGGCATGCCCTTGCAACACGCGCTATCCAGCTTGACCATGTAGCATACCTTGCTGGTGAAGTAACAGCTGTCAGCACCATTGCCAGTACTGAAATTGCAGCCTTGCAAGGTCCAGTTAGAGTGTGACAGATTCCGTTTCTGTGGTGCCGGTACTCCGCTCCCCAAAAGCAGTGCCTGTCAAGCATCATGTCCTCCCCAAAGCGCCGGCAGCAACTGGGCCAGGCTGAAGCATGCATCGCTGGCATGGTCGCCTTTAAGTTCCGACCAGGCCGTGCCGTGTCTCTGATTTCGCTTTTCTTGTCCTGTAGCGCGACTGCTTGACTGCTGCCAGGGGATGCAGAAGAGATCAAGATAGAACGACCGGCTGATCGGTCAAGGAAAGGAGGGAAAGGCGCTCTGAAACGATCAGCCATAGAGCCGGGTTTGAGTTTTTGACAGCGTGGCTGTTGTGCGTTTCAGCGGCTGGGCAGGTGACGGCTGGGGCAAGGGTGGCTGGGGCCACGGTGCCGCCTGTGGTGGTTGCGGCGGCTGCAGCGGCTGCGGTGGGTGTGCAGGGTGCGGAGGATGCGGTGGATTTCCCGGTTGCGGCTGTGGCGGCTGCGGCGGCTGCCAAGGCTACCATGCTGCTTGTGGCGGCTGCGCTTGTGGCGGCTGTGGAGCAGATGGCCAGTGGGTCCAGGGCTGCGGAGGCCTCGCAGTGGAATCGCTCGTGGTTAGTCGTGGACAGATCTGCGAGCAACTTGCGAGGTTGCGGCCAGCGATACCAGCCATACTGAGGAGAGACTGAGCCACCCGCACGGAGCATGGTGAATGTGAATTAGCCTCAACCGCTTATCATCTTGAGCATCGTGTTACTTCGGCTCACTTGCACATCCAAGTCGTCCTTCGCAGTAGCCATGAGCAGGTGTCATTTGACTCCTCAGTGCAGCGACGAGAAACCAAACAGCTTGCGTTCTTGCTGACAGCCTTTCGGAGAGTGTGTTGAATGCAGCATGGTGAGAACACTGACTCTGCAGAGCCGTACGTGCATTCAATGACCATGAGTCATCGAAATGTTGCCAGGCGATATGCGAACCTCCTTTTTGCACACCTGGCTCTTGCGAAGATACCAGCCCGCAGCCCGGTCGTCCTCGGCAAGCGGCAGTCAAAGAAGCGCCTAGGCGAGAGGGGAGATTGTCCTCTGCAAACTGAGCAGATTGCTGAGGTGACATCCAGGTCCAGCTCGTTGCTTCATGAGGCCATGCAAGCGAGAGCAGCCATCTCATGCCGGAAGCCTTTGACCCGAGAGCGACATACTGCGAGTTGCGTGAAGTGTCAAGACACGCATAACTGATAAAGTATTTTCCGGAAGATAGGAAAGCAATCTTCACTGGAGGAAGAAAGGACGCTTGACAAGTACAAAAAGCATTCTTTACAGACGATCGGGGGCACGCATCCTACGTATGTACACTTGCACTGCCGGACAGACGCAATCAGCTGCACCGTCCTGTCCTGCTGCACCCACATATGCTCCGGCTTCAAGCATGCCAGAGTTCTTACCCAAAATGCAACAGCAATGATCATGGTGATGATGATGCTTGCGATGATGATGATGATGATGATGATGATGCTGATGATGCTGATCATGATGATAGTGATGACGTTGGTGACGATGACGGTGATCCTGTTATCAGCAGTAGCGGCAGTGCTGACTATGCTGTAGTGTACCTGATGGTGGTAGTGATGGGTGGTGATGATGATGACGACTTTGCTGATATGACGACGACGGTGATGATGATGCTGATAATGTAGTAGCAGTAGTAGTAGTAGTAGTTGTTGTTGTTGTTGATGATGAGGTTGATGTTGCTTATGATGATCATGGCGATGATGATGACGATGGTGATGACGATGGTGATGCTGATGATGGTGCTCATGATGATGCTCATGATGAAGCAAACGATGGTGGTAGTTTGACTATGGCGATGATATTGATGCGGCAGCGGAGAGGGAACAGCAGGAACCACCATGATCAACTGGAGGAAAGACAATGCTCAATTGGCCGGAGGTTCTCAGTAAATTCTGGATTGCTACACTTAGCATGATTGTCACTACTTCATCTTTACTGCTGCTGCTAGTGCTTCTGCTGCTGCTGCTGCTGCTGCTGCTGCTGCTACTACAGCTACTACCTACCACGACTCTGCTGCTACTAGTGCTACTACGACTACTGCTGCTGCTGCTACTACCACTACTACTGCTACTGCTACTACTACTACTACTACTACTACTACTAACTACTGCTACTAACTACTAACTACTAAGTTACTACTACCTA